TATCTGTATTGGGTTTTAAACTAAAGTTTAAAAAGCTAGTAAAAATGAATGTAAAACAAAACTTCAAATGTATTTCTTTAAAATACAGTAGTACCATATTTTATTCCATTGGTTTCAATTACACTGTAGCCCAGGGTCTCTAATTGACCTAATCTTTAACACTAGAATAATTTCCATTAACACTTATCTCAAGAACCACTGTGGTTTTCCAAAAGAACATAAGTTTTAATGGCCTCATACAAGAATTACTTTTCATAATTTAAACTGTCATGATCTCATAACAAATGACAACAGTGCCATCTAGTGCTTTATGGTGTTCCTTGCTATTTCTAAAGAAATTAGGGTGGTCCTATACAACCTGAAGATAAATTGTCTGATAAAGTAGTCATATACCATATGTGTCTATTTAGCTGAAAGATAACATTTATTTTAAAATGTGCTTTAATTAAAGAATATAAACTGTATATCAAACAGTATAGAAATAACAGTGATAAGAGTAATGTAAATATCTCAATGCTCTTTAAAATACTGATTACATGTTATAATGAAAATACTTAAGAGTGTGTTAAGATATGTCATATTTCTTTGCATTTTTGGTGTAGTCAATATAAAATTTTAAATTACAAATTATGATACATATTTATTTTAAGTAGCTACAATCTATAACAAAAGTTATATTGGTCTCCAAAAAAAGGTTTAAACATTAATATATCATATTCATACTAAGTTAAATTAGTTATATATGTGTTCATACTAAGTAAAAATAAGTTACATATGTGTTCATAATTGTAACTGTTCCCTACTTTGTGACACAATAAAGGCTGAAGACTTGAAAGAGCCAAAAACAAATTACTAATTTTTTAAAAAATGAGATAAACATGTCCCCATAAAATAAAATCAGGATATTTGAAAAATATCTAGAAAAGCTAAAGAAAGGTAACTTATATGGCAAAGAAATTGACAATGACAATGTAAGCATCAGTAAGGGAAAATAATAGCATGTGGGTTGAAACATAATAGCATGTGTCATACACATATGAATTTGTAAGTTTATGATGACACAAACAAAAAATTGTATCACCTTACATTATATTCATCAAACAATTCTTTATTTTAAATAAAGGGAGAAATATTTAAAAAGTTAAAAAAAAAGGAAACAAATAGAAACAAAAGAAAGAACTATACAATTTACCCCGAGTCTCCTATATGAACTCTATTGGTGTTTATCCAAATCACTGGTGAGAAGAGTATTTGTTTTTACAGAAGTATTCCAAACAAGAAATTAAACTATTATACTTCTGCAACTGATAAATTACAGTATAAACTTTGAGCATCAATATCTGCTAAGCTCATAAAAACAAATACGAGCACACATTTTTGTGGCTCTTTTCTGTGAAAAAACAATTATTAAATATTATTCTATATAAATTAAATCTAAATCTGATTAAGTCAATTCAGAGCTTTAGCACAACAGATTGAGATTTTAAGCCAGATATTTTTGTTCTGGGCAGAGTATCCTGCATATTTTAGGATGTTGAATGGAAGTATCTTCCCAAAACACTTTAATGACACCATATTGCAGTATTACATGCTTATACCCATGCTCATAGCAGCAGAATTCATAAAGTCTAAATCTTAGATAAGGCTTTCATGTTCATCAATAGATGAATGGATAAGAAAAATGTAGTACTTACACATGGTGGAGAACTACATTGCTATAAAAAGTGTAAGTTTGCGTTAGCTATAGGAAAAATGGATGCATCTTGAGACTATAATGTTAAGTAAAATAAATTAGACAGATAAACATTGTCTGACTTCTTTTATATGAAAATTCCAAAATTTAAAAAGATCAGAATAAAAGATAGATAATAGGAAAAAGGAGACAGATCTATTGCAAAAGGGAAAGGAATGTAGAGCCAGAGGTAGGAGTGGGGGAGGGGAGAGAGCATGAAAAAAGAATTAAGATGTGTTATGAGGATGTACAACTCCCCTTGAAGAAACTGCTCATACTACAAATATGTACTAATAAAAAAATAAAACTTTTAAAAAGACAAGCAAATTAAAACTTAAAGATAAAGCAACACATATGCTAGAACATCTATTTTAAGAAGACAGATAATACTATTGAGATACTGTAAACAGCTCTCAACCCATAAAACTACCAGTGTGTATTAAAATGGTACATACATACTGAAAACCAATATATGTGCACCTTATAAGGTTAAAAATAAGTAATTATACTACCAAGATTTTTCCTAAGGAAAATAAAACATCCACACAAAGACCCTATGAATGTCCATAATATCATTTTTAACTGTCAAAGCCTCAAAATAATCCTAATAATCACAATTTGTTAATGGACAAAAAATATAGCCATATGTGATTATATCTTTCATTAATTTAAAAAATTAAAATAGTGGGCTACATAGTGAGTTTAGGGAAGTTGAACTATACAGCAAGGCTCTGTCTCAAAAACACACAAAAAAAGTTGAGGACATATACAATAAAAACTATGCAAAATGGCTGAGACAAAGTATAATTACAAAAAACTAAAGAGAGATTCCATATCTGTGGATCAAAAGATGCAATACAGCTGGGTGCAGTGTCTCGCGCCTGTAATCCCAGCACTTGGGAGGCTGAAGCAGAAGGATTGTTGCAAGTTCAAGACCAGCCTGGGCTACAAAGTGAGCTCAAGGCCAGCCTGAACTGCATAGCGAGACCCTGTCTCAAAAAGACAAAAAAAAAAAAAAAAAAAAAAAAAGATGCAATACATTTAAAATGTCAACCTCTCAACTTTGTCTACAAATTCAACACAACTTCAATCTAAATCATAGCATATATGTTTGTAAAAATTCACAAACACACTCTTTAGTTTTCCTACATTAATGCAAAAAAATTGAATAGCCAAAATGAGTTTAAAAATTAAGAACAAATCTTTAGGATAAACACTACCTGATTCAAGACTTATTCAAACCACATTAATTATAAAAGTGTTGTTGGCATAAAAATAAGCAGATAGATTAACAGTATTTTACATAAACCCACTAAAAATTCCATTTGACCTAGATATTCCATTCTACATATCTCCCCAATCAAAGACATCATATATTGCCATGCTTACATGTGATACATATGTAGACAAATTTATAGCAGCACAATTCATAACAGCTAAATCTTAGAAGCAGGCTATATGTTCAACAGGAGATAAGGGTTAAATAAAACATATATACACACAACGGAGTACTAATCTGCCATAATGAAAGATAAACTTGAGTCATTTGTATGAAAATGGATACATCTAGAGACCATAATGCTGTGAAATAAATCTGACATCCAGGCTTAAATATCACGTGGTTTTTCTTACATGAGAATCCCAATGTATAAATAAAAAGGAAAATAAAAGATAACAGAAAGTAGGGATACAGATCTTTCTAAAAACAGACAGGCATCAAGAGAGAAGGAGAGGGGAAAGAAATGAGCAAGAAAGATTTTAAAAGGAATTAAAATATGTTACCTACACATCCCAACTGCACACAAGGAATATAAACACTGTATATTGCAAAAATGTACCATAAAAAGGAAGAGGATCAAAATAGAGAATAAAGGGAGGAAGGAAAGAAAGTAAAGAGGATTTTTTAAGGAAATCAAAATATATAAGTGTACATGTACCAATTCCCCACAAGGAATGTAAACATTATACTGTACAAACGTGTACTTGAATCACACACACACACACACACACACACACACACACACACACTCACTCATTGTCATAAAAGGATAGGGTAGAGGGGAGGAAGGGAATGGACAGGATGAATAAAGAAATTAAAATGAGTTATGTACATGTACCAGCTTCCCAAAAAGAATGTAAACATTATGTGCTATACACATGTACTTGTAAATTCAAATAATGAAAAAATACAGAGATGGACATAGTGGGGAGGAAGCGAAGGGTATGGATACAAAAGAATTGAGATGTGTAAAGTACATGTACCAACTCCCTATAAGGAATACAGTCATGTGCTCAAAACATGTACTAATATAAATAATTTTTTTACAGAAAAAAAGGAACACTGACAAAAAAAACTGTTATACATAGTGTTATGGCTTGTGTCTAGATTTCTCCCCAGAGCCTCATGCAGTCATAAATGGGGGCATTTTCAGAGGTAGCTGCATATACACAGTATGACTTTGGGACTGATTCATGGTGCAATGCTAGGATCAATGGCAGCAGGTTTAAGGCTGAGTGCTAAACCACCTTGAGTAGTCTACATAAGATATAAAGAGATAGAAAATGCTATGGTTGTCACTTGCTTGCTTTTGCTTTGCTAACTTCTGTTTATCATGAACTATTTCTCCTTTGAGATGCCTGTCTTCCACGCTACCCTGGCTTGGACCCAGTCAATTATGAAATGAAATCTCTATAAACTGTGAGCTCAATTAACCTTCCCTCCTTTAACTTTATTTATTGGGTATTTTAGAAATGTAACTAAGAGAGATGATGTTCAGAAATGCTGACAAATTAAACTCTTACACATTGTTACTGGGAATACAAATCAGAACATCTGAATATAGTTTGGCTGCTGTGTGACTTAAACACAATGTACACTAATATTATTACTAAATAGAGAATATCTATTGGCACAAAATTAGGGTTTTGGTTTTTGCTTTTGGTAATGATCAAAACTGTCCCTGCAAAAAATTATCAAAAATATATTTGCTTAAAAGTTAATCATAATGGAAAAAATCACATTAAATTTACTTGAGTGTACTCAAGTTCACTATTTTGTTCTGTTTAGAATAATTTATATTGCTATTTTACTATTAGGAAAATGCACCAAAAAACATTTGAGAGACATTTCTTTGTACCATCTATGGAACTATATGAAAGATATGAAAAATTATAAGACATTAATGAAAACTATAGTTATGTAAGATGACTTTTAGTATCTGAAACTAGTAATAAAAACAATTTAATATTAAAATATGTAAATACTTACAATAACATGTTCCTCTAAGTGGATTACCAACATAACGATTTTCAGAGTCACATCTAAAAAAGAAAAACTTATTTACTATCAAATAATATAATTTAAAGCCTCATGTTACAACAAACACATTTAAACTCTACATTAAAAATCTAGTATAAATTTTATCAATAATTGAAATTTATTGTAGAAAGCCTGTAAAGGAGCACAAGTGAGAGATACAAAGATAAACATATCTGAGAGCAATATAAGAGATATCACAGAGTGGGATAAGGTTATGAATTTTGGGATATGTATCAGTTTTTAATATGAGAAGAAGGTAAATGTATGAATAAAGGTATGATGCTATTACCAAGTACAAGAAAAAATTGAGAAAACATATAACCACAAACTATGAACTAAATTCAAAGCTATTTTAATTCATGTAAGCATAGTATTAAAAATAAAAAAGATCACCTTATATTCAGGAGGTCTATGTTAAATACATCAAAAATATGGTTAAGTATAGCCGTGAAAGCAAAATATGAGTTTTAAAAATCTTTAAAATTATACTTTCCAGTCTTTATTTTAGAATAAAACTAAAATAACAATTGCTGCCTAAAAAAGATATCCATTAGTCTTACATGATGCTATTTCTTGGACAACTGTCAAAGCAAATTTTGTAGAATATATATATTATAGAACATATATTTTTATAGAATATATAATTTTATAGAATACATATTTATCTTATATATTTTATAGAATACATATTTCACAGAGTACACATTTCATAGACTATAATATTTATATAATATAAAAACATTTTATATTTATATATTCTGTAGACTATATATGGGTAACAATACAGTGACTTATTATACAAATTAAGTTTAAATAGGTAAGAGAGAACTTCTAAAATGTGTAGTTTTAGTACAGCTCACTAGGAAAAAACCTGTTACAATACATAAATATCTTAATTAATAAAGAACCAGATAGTAGAGATCACAGTTTATGCTGAACTCCTGAAAACACTCTTGAGTAAAAATAATTCTTATAAAAGATCTGGGAGGTTTACAAAAGTTTTTAGGAAAATAGGGATCAAATAAGAAATTAATCCGAAACACCAGAATGACAATACACTTATTTAAACAATAGTTGTGCTTAGTGAACAAACAGTATTTTTAAGATTATTTGAATGAAAACACACTAATTAAGGACACTAAGAAAGGAAACAGAACTTGTTTATGAAAACTTGTACTAACTCCTGCAACACCCAACCTTAAAATTTCAAAAGTTTACGTATCAAAGATTGAGTCAAGTTGAAAGCACAATTATGGAACAGAGAGTTTGGGTGAAGGCCTTGCACCACTCAGTCAAGACCTCAGTCCTTTGTTCCAGGGCTCAACGTCATAGTCACCAGAAAGTGACTAAAAATTCCAAATCATCCCATGGCAATGATAAAAAAGCACTAAAGACATCAAGTGCTGACAAATACTTGGAGTCAAAGGAAGCCTTGCACTCTATTGGGTGTGATGTAAATTAATACAGTCAATGAGAATAGAATATGGGGCTTCCACAAAAAGTTATAGAAGTCATACAAATAATGAAATCCTGTCATTTGTGAGAATATGGATGTAACTAGACATTATTTTGTTTGGTGAGTAAGTCAAGCACGAAAAGACAGGTATCACATGATCTTACATGTGGAATGTAAAATGTTGATCTCACAGAAATTCATAGAGCTAATCAAAAGCTAGAGAGTGAGAGTGATTAGAAAGAATGGGAAAATATAAATGGGGCTAAATTGCACTTGGATAGAAATAACAAAATTCTAGTGTACTATTGAACCACAGAGGACTATAAAAAGGGATTAACATTGTATCTTTGAAAAAGCAAGAAAACAGATTTTGACTGTTTTCACTCATGGACTGATAAATGATTGAACAGATAGTTTAACTTGATTATATAATGTATACATATATTAAAATATCACATAGTATCCATTGGTAAGTATAATTTTTATGTATCAGTAAAAATAAATTTAATTTTTTAAAAGAGCCTAATAGACAAAGTCTGTTTGGTAGGCCGAACTAGAAACATGTTTTGGTTTTAATATGCAGTAAACGTTAAGTTAAAATTTATCAGTGGTGTCTTCTGAATTATAATTCCTTATAGTACATATTAACAGTGATAGATTTTTTTAAAGAGCTAGGGTCTTGCTGTATTTGTTGCCCAGCCCAGCCCCAAATTTTGGGTTTAAGTAGTCCTCCTGCCAGGACTATACAAGTGCATTACTGTACTGTATTAATCATATTTTTAAGTAAATTTATGTTATTTTTGGGATCCAGATGAGTTCAAATACCTTACCCAGCATCTTTTGAAAAGTAGTGTGTGTTCTGCTTTTCTCCACCACTTTTCCTGTTAAATGGGTTCAAATTCAATTGGAGATAAAATAGTTACTGTGTGTATTGATAGTTTGCAAGGATAGTTTCTCGAAGGAACCTAATCTCTAATTGGTAAGCTTTAGAAGTCAAGTTACAGATCAGATTCGTGGAGTCTTAATTTTCCATTGGTGCACCTGTTAACTGTCTTCTCACTGATTGTTGGTTTTCTTTATTCTGGTGACACATGTTAGGCAGTAGTCTAGTTATATTTCTCATCATCTTAGTCATTCCTGCAAATTTCTGACAACTAAGAGTCTCTGGTGATCATCTGGCCCTCTTGACGATTAAAGTAATTATATCTATGCTTAAGAGTTAAATAATACCACCTGACTTCTTTTATTCTGGAATTTTGACATGCCCTTTGGCACTAGAGAATATAGAACCCTGGCAACATCTTCTGCAGTATACTTTGACTTGCAGAAAATAGCCACTACCCGCATTTCACAAAAACTTTAGAGTTCCTCTTACTGCTGAACTCCCCACTAGCCTATGAAGGAAACACCTGGAAGACATCCAAGAAAACAGAGCCCATTAATGGGCACTAATTATTCAATGTTTCCACCAAAACTCAAGATGATAAAGAATCCCCATTGTAAAACACCAAACTATGGGACCAGATAAGGCCATTAAGAGATGTTTAGGTCTTGAAAGCTCTGCCCTTATGAATGGATTAATCCACTTGCAAATTAACAGGCTAATGAATTATCTCAAGTAAGTCTGTTACAAAAGCATATTTGACTCTGTCATTTGTATGTACTTTCCCTATGTGATTTTCTATGTCACTGTGAGACACTGCAGGTTCCCATTAACAAAAAAGTCCTTCACCCACTGGGGCCCCTCAACCTTTAACTGCCTAGGATGCTGAACTATGAAATGAAAAAGGTGTTCTTTTAAAATTTTCTATTAGAGGCGGCAGATGCTCTGGAGGATAAACAACTTTTTATGAAGTATAACTTTTAGGTCAAATTGTTGCACTGTTTCCAAGGAAAGGGAACCTGCACTACTACCTCAGACTAGGAATGTTGAGGGTAATCTGGGGGTTCGAGTTCTGAGGTCTCAAAGTACCACCCCTTCATATCAGACAGTGACTTTGCTACGAAAGAACTGTCATAGCTGAGGCTTTAATTTCATTTGCCCTCAGTCAGCCTTATGATTAAATTGTGGGTATGATTTTCAGTATTATCTTCCCTGTGGCTATAGGAGATAAATGTTTTTAAATACTATCATTATTGGTCTGCTAATGTTCAGACTATGGATTGAGATGAAGAAAAGTTCCTCTTTCAAGGATTTACAGCAGAAAAAAACTATCCCAAATTTGTAATTCATCTAATTATTAGCCCTCATATTTTTCAAGTGCTAACATTACATAAATACCAGTACTTCTTCCTCAAGCTATACATTATCCCAAATGACCACAGATAAGATTGATTCTTAATAATTACTACACACATCAGGATAACCTATAACTCGCAACCAGTATCATAATACTTAATGCCCATCTGATAGGCCATCAATTATAAAACATCTCATGTTAAGGATCTGTTATCTAGGAGGACATCCAAGAGCAACTGACTCAGTAGAGATGACTCATCAAGTACTGAGATAGACTTGGATATGCATATTTTCGTTGGGCAGTGATCTCAGGCAGCCTTGGTAAGTAGGAAATGTAGGGAAACTACCACCTCATATTGGTTGAGGACTACCCTTACTGACATTAACTGTACAACACTTCCTGATTGCACTTGGGCTGAAATAACGTGCTTTGAAACCAGTAAGGGATTGGTGAGACTCACGCTTGATGCAGGATACTGGGAAGTGTAGAAAACTGTCTGCTATATCTAAGGGAATTTCCAAGATGCATTACAAGAACTGGCTACAATAACTAATTCAAATTTCTTTTGCTTTTTCTATAATATATACTATTTATTTCTCATGGGGAACACTAGTTTCTATTAAAAAGGTAGTCATCAAAAGACTTAAGAAAAATCAAATAGTACTGTGCTTCTTTATACTATTACACTGAAAATAAGTCTAATTGAGATATATTATACTTTATGGACTCCAAATATATTTTGATTCACATTGTAATCAGAGAAAAGGTTATGTTTTTAAGATCATTTTTATTCCTCAAAACTAAGAAATATTTAAAATACTACATTATCAATTATATATTTATATTATACACCATGTTTTATTATTTTTTAAATTACCATTTTTATTACCAGCTATGTATCAGGCCAAGAATAGATTGAGAACTGACACCTTTTCAGCACCTTTTGGATGGATATTCCAATCGCAATATTCATGTTCTGATCAAAGTGGCTGGCATTCCTTTCAATGAGCTTACGCCAACAAGAGTCTTTTCTTAAAATCTTCTCTATTTCCATGAATAACTGGTTGAATTTGTAAAAGGAAGGAATTTATGCCAGGGAGAAACTCCACCAATTCCATGGCTCTCATTAGCTTCACTGTTAGTTAACAGTATACAATCAACATCTGGCAATTTGTCAATCAGTTTCATTAATTCTTAGAAGTTTCCAGATGGCTCCACTCCAGGTAAGCAAATATTTAGGTCCCATGACTCCCTGAAGGTTCTTGCATCTTTTTAGATTTTTAGCTACTGGTTATCTTGTAATCTCAAGTCTCTAATGGCTTCAAGAAAACTCATAAACTTGTCCAAGTGTAGGTGTAGAATAAGGTTCCATTCAGCTCTCTACATCCCTGAGACAATCTAGAAATGCCATTCTTACTTTCTTATTTTCTTTTACTGATGCTGTTTTCCCTTCTTTGTATTACCTTCTATACCTCAAAATTTTACCCATTGTTCAACTTCCAGTTAAATATTCTTTATTTGAACTTTCCTTATCCTTTCAGAAGGAATAATAATCCCCCTCTTAGTATCCCACTAAAGCTTTATTCGATTCCCAATAAATAAATTCATCGGAAAATCATATTATGGTAGTGATACAGCAGTCCCTAAAGAAATTCACCTGAGTAAAGGATATAAAGGAGTACATTGGTAATATAAAGAAGTAATTAGGAGACAGAAGAAGATCCAGTTTCAGGTAGGGAAGGTTATGTAAAATACACAATATATGACATCTTGACTAAATAAAACCAAAAAATTATTCTGAGAAGAGTAAACTGTTTATAGGCATATCAAATAACTAATAAAATAAATTAATATGTTTGTCTAGTACTTCACTGCAAGTCAGAAAAATACTTTAGGTAAAAAATGTATTACTAATTTTCCTTAATAGAAGAACTAACTTAATAATTGCTTATTGATTTAAATGACTCTCTCTGCTCCCTAACAAGAACATATTATTATATAAGAACACCAGAACAAATAATTGCTTTAAGAATGCTGGTCCTGTTCTTTATTACTCAATACCCAAAGTTAAGTGAGCAACAGAAAGGTAATAAGTGGTATTCAATTTACTATCTATAAAATATTCTTTCTAAATTGGCATTTCTATTTTCCCTGCTTTTAAAAATACACAATTAAAATCATGTGCAAAATGCCATTTTGACACTGAGAACTATGCATTTTCTAAATTTCTTACATATTAACTCCATATTAATAAGCTCAATATTTCAATGAATTAAAACCCTGCTGTCTTGACAATAAAAAATTACAGTACTAAGTAATGACTATCAATGTTTATATGTTAATATCTTTTATGTAAAACTACAGTAATAGTTTCTGTATATTTAGGATCATGGCAGAATTTCATAATTCACTTTTGTCCATAATATTGTAACTATAGTGTATAAAAATTATCTCCATTCCTTCATAGTTATCCAATCAACAAAGAGATTAAAGAATTCACACTGTTCATGAACTGGATCTAGTAAATAATTTGAGAGAATGAGAGAGAATGGTAGGAAATACAGATATAAAGTTTTTGTTACAAATTATTTGGAATTTCAAAACAGTAAATAACAGAAGAGCATTATATCAAGTGTGATGTGCTTCTAAACATGGGTCCTATGCAAATTCTCAGGTCAAAGTCCCATAAATTTGGCGCTATTGACAACAACCAAATGTTAGTGTTGTAAAATATTAGAGGCCTCCTTCTGTTTTAAAACACAGGATTCTGATATAGTTCCCATCAACCAAAAGACCTTCTTTAATGGAAACTGCCCTTATCATATATGATTAGAACTATTTCTAACTTCATCAAGTATGGGGAAAGAACATGAACTAGTTGTTTTCAACTACTCTGAACTTAAAAATCTGTGATACTTCAGAATACAGTAAAAAATAAGATGATCTAATTTAAAATGATTAAGATAATTCTATAGTAAACAATGTATTTTAAATAAAAAAGATAAAATATTCAAAAAATCATGTGTGACTTCTTTAGATACAATGAGATATTATTTCACTTTTTAAATTTTTCCTACACTTATACAATCATTTTAGTTAAAATTTATTATTTCTGTCAAATATTAATTTATAAACATATATTTGCATGTATATAGTTCAAAATCAGAAAAAAATTCACTTTAAAAATATAAATTTTATAAAGAATAAAAAAAGAAACAATTTTTAAAATCATTTGTACTTACAATTGGCATTGATCTCCCTTTATGCCTTTGGTTGTACAGAAACACTTTCCAGTGTGCAAATGACAAATATTTGCATGACCACTGCATGTACAAGCTGCAAGTTCAAAACCAAAATGATACTGAATATTCTATATGACATATATACAAAGTATGATCAAAATATAGAGAATGTTTCAATAAGGCATTAGAGTAAAAGACACATTGCCATTAATTCCTCTCAAAATACTTTCCCTCACTTCAAACACTTATCTCATCATTCTTGTCACTTTTTTGAAATGGATTTCCAAGAGTTAAAGTAGGTGTCTTACAGTACAACAGGTTAGTTTCAAAACACACATCTAATTATGTGATGTTAGACAATTTACTTAACGTTTTTAGTTAGTTTCTTTATCTGAAGAAGAAAAATAATAGTACTCCTCACATACCAATCACTTAATTCAGTTATTACTTTTAATACTATTATTACTGGTAATAATAACCAATATTCCTATCTATTGTGTTTTTTAGAAACATTTGTATCTTGCCCTAAAATTGTCCTTTGAGATGACTACATTTTTGAGATCATTTTTATTTTTATTACTTCAAAATACTAAATGAATTCATGCACATAGTTTTATTTATATAAACTCGTCTCAATTTCTTACTATATATTCTTTTCTGTAAGAGTCATGTTCCAATTATTTAGGACACATTTTATTATGCTCACTATGCATTCAATTAGCAAATTCTAATTTCTACATGCACAGTATCTCTTGCATCTGACCTCTCCTTTTTATTCTGATAGTTACCATTCAAATTTTATCATCCATTTTCTCTTACTGACACCAATACAATCATGTATTGGCTCTCTCTACCTTCACTTCTAGGTTAATATTTATCCTCCAAACAAATGACATATTCAAAAGAGACAAGCTAATTATGTCACTAGCTCTTTCAAAACTCTTCGGTAACAACTATTATATTCTTGAACACTACCAGCTAGCTAAACAATTCTAAACATACATTAAAATGATGAGTCAAATTTTCCCAAAGTGTTTTCTTAAAATATCAGTATGCTAATGTTTCTCTTTAATGAGCAAATGCAAAAAGTAGGCAAATAATCATATTGACATTTTAACTGAGTCTCCAAGAGAAAATGGATACTGTATACCAAAATGAAATACAGTACAAGATCAATCTGAACATTTTCTAAGGATAAGTCTATATCTTAGTTGGAGATGCTCATTCTGTTTGTACTGAATTAGATGGAGTAAACAAAAGAAGAAGAAAGGAGGATTTGGTGCGAATTTCCATTATTTTAGTATTATCAAAGATTACTAAACTGTATACTTTACAGTGGTGATTTTTATAGCATATAAACTACATTTCATTCCATATTTTTAAATAATTAGTGTTTAGCATAATACAAAATACAGTACAACACTAGGCTTCTTTTTCATTGTTTATGTTTACAACCCTTGAAAAAAAGATGATTAATAAAGTAAATATACACATAAACCTGACATAAACACATAAAATAAGATTTTAACAAGGAGATTTCTCATAATTTCTTGTTTTTACTAGAAGACATTTAAACATGAATGTATGGAGGGCTCCTCTTAAATTATTTAATAAATCTGCATAATTTTCTTTTCAGTTTATAGCATTAATTATGAAATACAAGATGAGAGAATAAAAAAATGAAAGATAATATAGAGAATTGCAAAAAATACAGGAAACTATTATCAAGCAGTAAAGACACTAGAATATATTGGAAATATGCAACTTATTAAATAATAAATGAATATGCCATGGCATCCTTAATATTAAATAGCAATTTCAAATTAATACTGTCTTGCATTCAGAAGTTCACTAAGAAGATGCATATTAATATTTTAAAACCTGAGTAAACATTTCATTTATCCTCTATGGCAAAACTTGCTAATAGTTATGTTTGCAGTGTTCTTTTAAAAATTATCAATGTAATTTTAATAATTTCTGAGTAAAAATGAATTAAAATAACTTCATGTGAGCACATTTTGAAAGAATTTCCTCACAGTATTATATTGCAGAATAAAACAACAAAAATCACTTTAAATTCAATTGTTTAAAGTTTATACTTCATGACAGTTTTAAAATTATTTTGTTGTCAGCACTTGAAGCTATTTTTATGCTGAATAAGCACATATGAAAGTTTAATACAGTGGCCGGTATTTAGGGAAATTTTACAAGGTGATTTTATGGCCTAGATATACACTAGAGGAACATAATGTGGTCACATGATATTTCTGTCCCCATAGTATAAATTTGCAATGTCAACTTATATTCAAACTAAAAATAAAGATAAAAAAGGTATCATTAAACATATCTCAAACAAGTCACATACAAAAATATACTTTAGACAATGAAAATAAAAAATAGTCATTGGCAGTATTTTTTATGTGCGTTTATTATATGTCATTGCAACCTGCATACATATAATAATATTTTCTGGAATTTAGATGGTCATGTCAATTCGATATCTTTTGTATTTATGGCAAACATAATTATACTGAATGAAATATGATAGATATATTATAGATTATATTTCAAATATAGTAAGAATTTCTACTATACAGAAGTACATGGTTTTAAATCTTCATGTTTTGAAAACTTGCTGGCACTCTTGCTGGACTTGTCCCAGCAATTCTTGAAAAGACCCTAAACCCGAGTTTCATCTCTCTGCTGTGATCTAGGAGTAATTCTGATTGTTCAGTAAAGTGATAAAGAGAGAATTCCCACTGTCAGTCTTTCTAGACTTAGTTCCACAGAAAATCTGAAGACAGCCATGCATCCTGGCCTCAGTTTCTGCTATAGTTGGAAAAATACCTCTGCTCAGCCAGTGAAGCACTGGAAGATAAACCCATCTCACTTCCTAGGAGATGCTTGCCAACCTCAGCCCCTCAGATCCCACGACGACCCTGGATCTAGACCCTCACTCCTCTTTTGTTTAGTCTGGAAGCAGTTCAGCCCTCCTGGGTACCTGAAGGATAAATGCCTGTCACTAATCCACTGATGTCAGCCCACTACAAATCTTGCAACAGCCCTATGAATAAGCTCCAACACCACTCAACTGTAGTCTGGGAACATATCTGCCTGCCCATGAGTCTTGCAGGACAATGCACATTTATTACCTGAGACACAGAGTTGAAGAACATGTTCTCAACAGTGGGCACTGAAGCACCCTTATAAGTTCATTCTCTTTTAGATATTCAACAGGGGTAATACTGCCTAACTAAAGAACCTACCTCTGCTAGACCTTTTGAGATCTGGCTGTAGTTCCCATAGGATTTCAGAGGAAATCACATTAGTGCTCATGTATGGCAACAAGCCCACTGCAGAACCCATACTAGCACCAGCCTTAACCAAAGTCCCAAGGAGAAACTAGTCTTTCCAGGAAATAGAGTAACTACACTCACTAGAGGATATAGTAAGAGTCTCACCAACTGCATACCCAACTCCAGAAACAACAATAGCTATGCTCTAAGCAAATAATGAAAAGTAAATTGTCAAAAACAAATGGAGCATCTTCAAAGAAGCCATACATAAGAAAATCATCATATATACAAGAAACTCCATGAGGCTACAGTGGGTTTCTCAACAGAAATCTTACAAGACAGGAGGAAGTAGGATTGATGCCTTTAATTACTGAAAGAAATAACTGCCAACAAAAAATATTATACCTAGTGAAGCTTTCAAAAGTGATATAAAGATATTCTAAAATGGAAGTTAAAGGTGTTCATTCCTATAAAATCTGATTTGTAAGAAATGATAAATGGGTTCAATGAAAGGATGATAAGTAACAACACCAAAAAGAAATATAAAATTAATTGGAAATGGTAAATATATAATGTAATTCAAACATTGTAGTACAAGAATAGCAGCACATAATCATTTAACTCTAGCATAAAAGTTTAAATCTATATTGAAATAATATAGTCACAATAATCTTTTAAAAATGTACCAAATAAAAAGGTATAACTATGATATTAACAGTATGAAGTGTGAAAGAAAAAAAGTGTTGTTTTTACATGCTATGAACTCAACCTATTATTAACATAAGTTGGACTATTAATTATCGAATACTTTACGTAAATTCAGTGGCAAAAATCCTCTAGCACACATAAAAACAAAAAATAATAAAGCATACAACCTCAAAACTACAAAAGTTTACAATGAAAAACAGCAGGACTGAAGGAAGGGAACAAAAGGCCTAAAAAATATTTAAAAACAAAATAGCATTACTACATCCTCACCTGTAAATAGTTACTGTATTATATATTTAAGTGAATCAAATTTTTTAACCAAAATACATAGAGTGGCAGAATAGATAAAGGAAAACAGTAAGGTTTCATAATATAGTGCCTGCAAGAGACATTTAGGACACACACACAAGAGACATTTAGGACACACATAGAAGTGAAAAAACAGAAAAAGATATTCCATCCAAATGGTTACCAAATGAAATAATGGATGTCTATACTAATAATACATAAAATAGTTTTCAAAATGAAAACTACCAATAAACAAAGAGAACCACTATCTAACAATAAAGAGGACAATTAAGTGGTTATAATTGTAAATATACATAAACCAATATTAGAGCAACACCATATAATACTAAATATGAATAGATGTGAACAAATAAATTTAAAAGCAATAATACTAGAAAACTTTAGTATCCCACTTTCAATCACAAATGATTATGCAGACAGAAAATCAATACAGACAAATTTGATTTGAACTACTCTTTACACCAAAAAGATTTAAGAGGCATTTACAGAACAGTCCAACAGCAGCAGACTACACATTATTCTCACACATATCAGAATACTCTCCAAGGTATGTGTGAGGTCACAAAACAAGTCTTGATGAATTTAAGATTGTTAATTCATATTATGTTTCTTTTCAGACTACAATATTAGGAAAGTAGAAATCAATAACTGGAGAAAATTTAAAACACCATAAATATGTGAAAATTAAGCGACATGCAGTAAACTACAATAATAACAACTCATGGTTAAAAATAGAAACATGACAACAAAAGCTTTACAATGCTGCAAAAAATTCAAGGAA